GGATGGATGGATGGATGGATGGATGGATGGATGGATGGATGGATGGATGGATGGATGGATGGATGGACGGATGTGTAGAGGGAATGGACGGACACATGGATTCTGAAAGAGCACACAAACATACACGGGCAGATGGACGAGGTCACACGCACACAGACAAAGATGCACAGGCACACGAAAAGGGTCAGGCACATTCACAGTAAGACTCACACGTCCACATGCTCAAAGCCAAACAAGGGGACAAGCAGCCGTTCAGAGAGACACACAGATGCACTGGCAAGGGGAGGCAAAAACACAGAAGGAAGCAGGCAGAAATGGGCAGGTGGAGAGACAGAGTCAGGCAGACACAGAGAGACAAAAAGGCAGGCACACAGGTGCACACACACACACACACACAAATCACTCCTGCTGGAGTATCCCCTGCTGGAGTATCCCTGCCAATGCTCAAGGGAAGCTGTGCTGTACGTCTGTGTCTGGTGTGAACGTGTCCCGGGAGGACTGGTCCCAGCCCCTCCCCTCTGATAAGAACCAGAGTGCTCCACAGCTGTGTGAGGTCTCTGTGGGATAGGGCTGTGGGATGTTGGGGTGCAGAGTTGGGGACATGCCTGGAGGAGGGGGTGCCCAGGACAGAGACTGACGATGATCAGTCCAGATGTGCCACAGGAGACACACAGGGAGGATTTTGGCTTCAGGTTGTTTGCCGTGAACTGAAACACTTTTGTTTCTCTACTGTCCATGCAAGCAGGCTGCCACCCCCCACTGGCAAGGGTTTGCTAGGAGTACCCAGGACTGCAGAGCTGACGGGAAGTTCACGTACACTCCACCTCCAGGCCAAGTGCAATGCCTGGGAACATGGCCCCCCAGAGGAGGACCTGCCAAAGACCAGTGAGAAGTGTCTGATCTCTGGGAGCAGCAGCACAAAATGTAACTGTGAGAAGGAAAAACAACTTTAAATATCTGTGATCCACGTGTGAGAAACACTGTGAAATGTAAAAACAGATCCTGTCCCCTGCTGTACATCTCTGTGCCACTGAGCCCTGCACTGATGCCCAGTTTCTCTACTACATTCATCCCTGTTTGTCTTCCCAGGCGGCCAGGGTACAGCATGAGAGAGTTCCAGGAAATGAGCAGGGAGGACAAACAAGGCAGGGCTGGCATTGGAGAGAGCCATGACTTCCAAAAGAGCTGTTGCTGTTGAGGAATACTTCAGTGCAGGTAGCTTGGTGTGGAGGTTGAGCTGTAGGTTGAGCTCTGGGTAGTCGGAGTCCCAGGCAAGATGTTGTGAACTGCTGACCCTTTGCATAACAAAGGTCACAGGGACCCATGGCCTAGCCAGGTGACCCGACACAGCGACATGCATGGCAGGAGCCAAGGACCCAACACTTTTGAGCACTTAGAATTTAAGGGTATCAAAGTCTAGGATTTCCTTGGTTTGCGGTCCCTCCTCAGAGGAACCCAGCCTGAGCTGTTATTTTGTTATTCATTTATTGCACCAAGATTAAACTATTTAAAATATCTGGAGATCTGAGACTGTGCTGTGGGAAACCTGTTGTTGAGCCAGTAAGGAAACCTGATCTGACTGTATGAGTGTGAAGGGGTTTTGGTCCTAGCTCAGGTGGTACAAGTGGGATCTTGTAGCTGAATGAACACAAGGAGTTGGAGTCATTAAATTAAAGTGAGTGCTGCTGTCCCACAGAACAAGGATGCATTTCCAGCTCACTAGAAGGCTGCTTCTTTCAAAGGAGAAAAGGGTGGCTGAGACCTTGTTATCAACCTCAGCATGAGTTGCCATTTCTGGAGGTGCTCCCATGTTCCAGGCAGATGTAGCAGGACCCCCCATTCCAGGTGGTTGGCACCCAAATGCAATTCCTTTGTTAGCCCCTTGAGCCATGACCTAGCTTTCAGAGGTTGACTTGGGCAACAAACCTGGGAGCTGTACAGCCCTTCCAGAGAGAGGGAGAGCTGCAGTGTGGCTGTGCCCTGGAGACTTGAAGGAAGCCCTTGAAAGACCCAGATCCAAATACCCAAAAACCCCCAAATTATC